ACCTGGCCGGGGTGGGCCTGCAAAGCCGTGAGCACGAACCATTTTCTACCCATGGCTGCCCAGCCTGGTTCTCTGGCCGTGTCCCCAGGGCAGCCCCTCGGCTGCGTCTGCCAGTCTCCACGGAAAACAAAAAAGCAGTTTCTGCCCTACTCACGCGTTGGCTTGCTCTGGCAAGTTTGTGCCCTCTCAGAACCCTTGTTCCTCACCCATCACATGGGGAGCATGTTGGCATCCTCAGGAGGTGAGGACCAGGCAAGAGGGTGCAGGGAGGGGCCCGCGGGCCTGAGCCAGCAGAGCCCGACCCGGCTGCCCCTCACTCCGTGGAATTGGTCGTCCCGGCCTTGCACCCTCGCCGGCCTCTGTGTATCACGGAGACTGCTGGCTGGGTGGGGAGCAGGCTGTCAGCTCTCGAGGGGGCGGGCCCTGAGCCTCGTGGGCAGAGGGTACACAGAGGCAGCGGGAGGTGGGCCAGCCAGCGCTCGGCATCTTCCTGCAGTGCCCATTCACTGTCCGGCCTTCGGCAGGGAGGCGGAAGCAGCATGCCAGGCAGGACCGGGGGGAAGCTAGATCTGGGGAACAGATGGGTCTTGAGGGACTCCTAGTCTGGTGGGAGCTGTGCCGCTCAGCCCTCACACTCTGCCCTCGCCCCCGCAGGACATCTGCGAGGACCCCCGCCTCTTCGTGGACGGCATCAGCTCCCATGACCTGCACCAGGGCCAGGTGGGCAACTGCTGGTTCGTGGCGGCCTGCTCGTCCCTCGCCTCCCGGGAGTCGCTGTGGCAGAAGGTGAGACTCGGGTAATCCTGATGGGTGCTGAGGTTGCGAACCAGCCACCCTCCCGAGAGCCATAGCCTGACCGTGGCCCTGAGCCTTTCTGAAAGCACGTGGCCGGGCCGGGGTGGACCGGGTGTTGGAATTGCCTTCTCTCTCCTACCAGCTGCGGGTCCCAGGGCAGGGCGGGAATCTGAGTAGCTCCAAGGCGACTGTGGCATGTCCCCTCCCCACTGTCGCGGCCCACCACATCCCTGGTGTGCTTGGCAGAAGCACTCCCGAGAAACGTGGCCGCTGCCTGTGTCACGCTCAGTTAACCTCGCTTACTGGGCTCGGGAGACCTCTGCCAGTAACCACTGTGTGCCTCAGGCCCCTGTCCCCAGGAGTTGGGTGGGGTGCTCCAGGTCATCCCATGTCATGATTTCTGGGTCCAGGCTGGTGGTGTTCAGGGCCAAGGACTGGGTGAAAAGGACGGCCCAGGGCCAAGGACTGGGTGAAAAGGACGGCCCAGGCCCTGCCTCCACATCCCCCAGGGCAGTGCTTGGAGTGGGAGCAAGTGGGGCTGGGCCTGCCCCATTGCGGGAGACGGGGGTCCCCTCCTAGCAAACACGAGTCACTCCCCCACTCCTGCTGTCCCCAGGGAGGGGCTGACGGGGCCGCAGAGCACCGAGCACTGAGTCTCCCAGGGTCCATGTGGCGTCTGGCGACTGGTCCCTGGACTCACCTGCAGCGTGAGGGCAGCAGGCCACGCCTCCGGGAGCCACGAGGGTGAGCAGTGTGTGTTCAGCTGTGGTGCCCGTGGGGGCAGCACTGTGACAGCGGGCATGCTCAGCGCACAGTGCCCTCTGCTGGCTGGCAAAGCACACACTGGGCTCTTCCTGGCCCTCAGGGCACCCGCAGCTGCTGGAGGGAGCTGTGCCCACGGCCAAGGCTGGGACTATGGCAGGTGCTTGCCCCCCATCTTCTAAACAGGGCTGTGACCTCCCAAAGGCATCCCAGGGAGGACATCCCTCAGGGAGACACACGGGCAGTCATTTCACTCAAAGGCCTCAGGCCTGGATCTGTGCTTGGGCGTAGGGCCAGGACCTCTCTGGCCTCCAGGCTGCACCCTGTCATTGGCTCAGTCTGGGGCTGGAGATGGTATGTGGGAGTCCCATGGGGTGCTCCCCCTCCCCATGATTCCCTGTTTACCTGTCGTTCTCCCCACCCAGATGCATCCCCCACCCCCACAGAGCTAGCCTCGCCTCTGCCCCTGCTGAGCCCTGCAGGGACCTGGTGTGGAGAAGGCTCCCCAGTTCTGGTAATGAGCTTCTGCCCAAATTGTAGGGCCCGGGTACCACCCAGCAGCCCCATGGGTAGCTAGGCTGCCCTCCTGGGCCTTCACTGGGGACCAATAGGTCCTCTCCTGGGGAATGGGTCCTGTGCCATTTGCTTGCTGTGTGTCCTGCCCCTGGTCCCTAGGTCCCTGGTTCAGCAATGGGGTAAAAGAGGGACCCAGCACTCAGAGGCAGGAGGCGTCATTGGTGCTGTGTGACCCTGGGCAGGCCTGTCTGTCTCTGGGCCAGGCTCCTGCTGCAGGGTGTATGGGCACCTGACCTGGCGGTCTCCAAGGCTGCCTGGGCCCCCGTGGTCTGGGTCCCCGGGAGCCTGGCCAGGGCTGGGTGCTCTGGGCTAATTGCACTTGCTGTAGTGCCAGCCCCCGGGTCCCGGAAGGAGGCACGGAGCCCCAGGGAGCTCATTACTGAGCCCGCCCTCCCTCCCGGCATGCCCGCCAGGCCCTGTTTGTTGTCACCCGCACTCCCTGGACCCGTTGCCCTGCAGGGCCTCCCCACCCTGCCCTGTTTTCTCCATGGAAGGGCAGTTGGGGGGGGGCACTCAGCCTCAGCTGCTCCCCGCTGCCCTCTCCCCTCCCCTGCAGGAAACCAGCCTTACCTGAGTCCTGGAGACAGTGTGGGGTGGGGGGTTGGCCGGCTGGGCCCGGGCATGCTTTGGACTGGGCCCTGTGCAGGCCGTGTGGCCTTGGGCAGGTCACGTCCTTCTCAGTGTAAACCTGCCGGGGCTAGGGGAGGTCGAGGAGGGCAAGCCCTGGGCATTTGGCAGCTCCGGGCCCCTCGGAGCCCCTTGTGCTGCCCTCTGCATGCCCCACATTCCTCCGCTTGGCAGTGGCTTCCCCTTCCTGCGAGCTCCTGGGGAGGGCATTCCGCCGCCCCCGACTTGACTGGTATCCTGAGGCGCAGTGGCCCTCGGGTGGCCAGGTGTTGTGAGCCTAAACCAGGACGTGGCACTTGGGTTGAGCATTTGCTGTCGGGCCTGGCCTGGCCTAAGCCGGACCCAAGGTGTAAGTGACCTTACTTCCCTGGAGCCTGGCACAGCCCGGGCATGGGGGCAGCCTGGAACGTGCCCCAAGCATGACGTATCTGGCCTGACTGGCCTCACTGGGGAGCGGTCAGTTGGCCCTGGCTGGAAAGGTGTGAAAGGACCAGCAGCTCCGTGGAGCTCCTGGGTCTGAGGGTCTGAGGAGCCGTGGTGGGGGCAGGACAGGGCAGGCCCGGAAGGGGCTAGAGGTGGCAGGCGAGGCCACCCTTGGGTTTCTGGTCACTTAGTCCCTGCGCCATCATGCGAGCACCAGCGGTTACATAGCAGTTCACCCGTCGCACACCAATGCCCCGGGCACCACAGTCGGCACCAGGACTGTCCGACGCCACTCGGGGTTTACATTACCCGCAAATACGCAGGGTCAGCGTCGTCTCTGTTTCCTGCTAGACTCGTCCACCGGGGTTTGAGGGGGTTGCTGCTGCTTCCACAGATCAGCAGCTGCAGACAGCTCGGGGCTGCTGCTCTCGGGTCATTCCGTGTCTGCCTGGTGCGCCGCCAAGAGTCTGACAGTGGGCGTCGGTGGGCCCGGCCCCCTGTGGCCTCCTGTTCCCTTCAGCCATAGCTTCTGTCCACGGCTCTCCCTCTGCTCTGCTCCTCTTCCCTCCCTTTCTCACACTGCCTTCCCCTGGTTCCCCTCACCCCCCCCCCCCCCGTCCCCTGCCCCATCCGTGAGCCCAAGCCCGGTCATAGCCATCCCCCATCTTCAGCCTCCCGTATGTTGGCACCTGTCGGCCGGGACAGAGCCCAGGCCCTCTGTAGTGTTCTGTGCCCTAGAGCCTCCCCAGGAGGGGACGACCCTCCTTCCTCACTCAGGAGGCAGGAATAGGGGACCCCCTTCCCCTAGTGCTGCTTCCAGACCGTGCGTCCCCACACACCTGCTCCACCTGCCATTTGGCTCCACCTCAACCCCTGCCCCCGGCTGTCCTGGCCTGTCCCCAGGTCCTTCAGCCTCCTGACCTTTCCCATCCAAGGACTGCCATACCCCAGGACCGCTATGTCTGAGTGGCACACCGCTAGCCCGTCGGCCCTCTTACTCCCATGTCCTGGCCTGGCCTGGACCTGCTCTCCCGGTCTTTGCCAAAGGTCAGTCTCTGACCTCACCCCCAGGCACCTCCTCACTGCCCACCTGAACCCTGCCCTGCACCGCCTTCTGGCCTTGGCCAGTGCCCGTGTGCTCTCTCCCATGGGCTACCTTCTCAAGGTCCTTGGCATTGGCCCCACGGGGCATCCCACCAGCTGTTGTCAGGTCACTTGGTCGTTCGGTCACTCAGTAGGCACTGCCGATGGTCTCCCGCATGGCAAGTCTGTCCTGGGTGTGGGCAGAGAGTGATGGGCAAGACAGACCCGGCCTGCCTCCTGGGGCCCCAGGTGTGGCACCTCGGCCTGCGGTGTTCTGTGTGCTGGGTCCCCTCCCCACGCCAGCTTACTCATGTTCGTTTAACAGGTGACTCCTGGTCTGCCTCAGGCACTGGGGATAGAGACTTCGTTCTCAGCCTTCAGCCTGCTGGTGCGCCGAGGACCCACACAGGGCACTAAGTGGGGGCTGTACTAGAGGTGGACCTGGCCATGGGGCTGCCCCGGTGCAGGGCCAGTGCAGGGCTGGCCGGCCAGGCGCCCCTGGGGCCCGTAGCCTGAGCATCACCGGGGGGTTGCCGGAGATGCAGATTCTCAGGACTCAGTAGGGACCTGGGAAATCGGGACCCTGGGGCACCCATGCTCCCTCCAGTCTAGGTGAGAGACGATGAGGCCGAGCTTGGGTCCTGGCAGTGGGTGGGGACTCCCAGGGTGGCTGGGAGCAGATGATAGGCCTCAGTTTGCAGCAGCAAGGGGAAGATGGCCCCTGCGCTTGGCTTGGGCGACTTCAGGCTCAGACCCACGAACCCCCTCTGGCTCGTCCCCCAGCCTCCTAGTGTCTCCCAGAGGTCTCCCAGTCTCATTCCTACCTCCAGCCAGCGCGCCCCCCTCCTCCCCCTTACTGCCCTTAGGAAGTGTTCCCTTCTTCACAAACAAGCTGGCTCCCAGCCGTCCTGGTAGTCAGGGCGGTTGCCACAGCAATTGACATCAGCAATCGGTCCCCAAGGAGCCGGCACCTTACTGCCTGCCCCAGTGTCACATTGCCGCCTCTGCAGGAGCGAGAGGAGGCACTTGGGCCTCCCCCTCAAACACTGCATTTGGAGAACGGGTGGGGCTGGGCAGAGGAGAGGGGACCCTGGAGGGCGGAGGTGGGCGGGCCCTGCCGTGGCCTCTTCTCCCTGAGGCCGAGGCCCCAGCCCACTCAGCTCCTGGACGCTGGCGGAGCAGCAGCCCTCAGCCATGGCAGAGGCCGGGCCGCAGAAGCCGCAGCTGGACATGCCACTGGTGCTGGACGAGGACCTGACCAAGCAGATGCGGCTGCGCGTGGAGAGCCTGAAGCAGCGCGGCGAGAAGCGCCAGGACGGCGAGAAGCTGCTGCGGCCGGCCGAGGCCGTGTACCGCCTCGACTTCATCCAGCAGCAGAAGCTGCAGTTCGAGCGCTGGGACGTCGTGCTGGACAAGCCGGGCAAGGTCACCATCACGGGCACCTCCCAGAACTGGACCCCCGACCTCACCAACCTCATGACGCGCCAGCTGCTGGACCCCGCCGCCATCTTCTGGCGCAAGGAGGACTCGGAGGCCATGGATTGGAACGAAGCTGATGCCCAGGAGTTCGGGGAGCGCCTGTCAGACCTGGCCAAGATCCGCAAGGTCATGTACTTCCTCATCACCTTCGGCGAGGGCGTGGAGCCCGCCAACCTCAAGGCCTCGGTGGTTTTCAACCAGCTCTGATGCGGAGCGCCATCCCCACCACCCTCTGCCCACCTGCCTCTCCTCGCTGCCCTCCTCTGCCCAGGTGTGTTTTGGGGGACGCTGGCTGCCCACCTGTACCCTTGGCCAGATGCCCCTCCCTGCTCCCCTGCTCCTGGGGCCAGCGCGGCTCCGGGAGTGCACTCCAGGCTGCATAGTCTAGAAGCCGGACCAGCTGCCGCCGTGTAGACAGCTGAGGCCTGGGCGGGCAGCGGGTGGACGGTGGCCAAGCCAGATGCCTTCCTGCTTCACTGTGGGTCAGAGAGACTGAGAGACCGAGCGGCAGGCACACGCAGATCAGAAGAACTAGCGGTCTGCCCCCACCCATGGCAGGACCAGGAGACGGCAGGAGCTGCTCCCCCGGGGGTGGCCACGGCACCCGAAGCCCGTGCAGAGGCCATCACCCGCCTGAGCCCTCAGGAAGACTCTGTTCCTGGCACCAGCCCGGGGCTCCGTGATCCCTCAGGACCCTGAGGATGTGGCAGGGTGGCCTCGGCGTTGATGGGGACAGTGGGAGTGGTCGCACCCTGAGGCTGTGCAGGCCTAGCTCTGGCTCCTCTGGAAACAACCAGGAGTGTGGGGGGCGGGAATAGCAAAGTCCCAGGGGTCCATGTGTCCGTCTGCATTTTCCTTCGCGAGCGCATGCTCCCTGGGGTTCACAACGGATGCTCAGGCTCCATGCCTGCCTGGGGGCCTGTCCAGCATTGGCCTCCCATAGTGCTGCAGGCTTGTGAACCTGGTGGGGCTCCCTGAGCTGGGAGTCAGGTCCACGCAGGGAAGCGGGGAGCCGGTGCTGAGGGAGCTCCCCGTGCTCTGCAGCTTGAAGCAGTGGGTTTTCTGGGAGGGCCAGCTCTCCCCAGGTCGATGCTCAGGGAAGGTGGGATTCACCCCGAGGTGGCATCCATTGGCATATCTTGGGCTTATTTAGTGGAGCCGAAGGGTGCGGTGGAGGGGCCTGGTGGGCATTACGATGGTGATGGTCAGACGTGACCTGGAGTTGGCAGTGACATGATGGCAGGATGCTGGCCTCTGAGGCCATTGGTACAGCCCCTTACCAGACAGACAGGGGAACTGAGGCTCCACCCGCAGCAGATTCAGTCCAGCCGAGCTTCATCCGCTGTCACAGCGCACAGGCCCAGGGAGCTCTCCCTTAAGGGAGGGGCCTGACGTGCCACCCGGCATCAGAAAGGCCACCTTGGCCAGTGTCCTGTCACCCTTCTCAGGGCCAGCCCTGTGTATGGTCTCGCAGGTCAGGGCCATGCCCACGACAGACCCTTCACAGAGAGAGCCAGCAGGAGATGCCAGGGCTCTGGGACCCCTGGAGGGTCCGCGCCATCAGTGAGGGCTGGAGCCACTGGGAGGGCCGCCCACCTGAGCCGTCATGTGCGAGCCCTGAGCCTCCTGACCTCTGGGGCCTCTTCTGACCCTGCCTGTCCGGCTGTCCGCAGGTGCGAGGAGGCCGGACTCCCGCGCCATGGCCTCTTGCATTTCTTTGCTTGCCCTCCCCCTGCCGCTCTGGGGCCCTCTTGTCCAGACTGTCCCAGGGGTCTGAGGGCCTCTGCCGGCTGTCTGCAGACTGTGGTGCGAGGAGGCCGGACTCCCGCGCCATGGCCTCTTGCATTTCTTTGCTTGCCCTCCCCCTGCAGCTCTGGGGCCCTCTTGTCCAGACTGTCCCAGGGGTCTGAGGGCCTCTGCTCTGCCCACTGCGTGTCCCAATAAAGCTGTGTGCCCCCTCCTCGGTGGTGTGCAATCTCTGGCCTCAGGAGCTTTCTCACCGGAGTGCCCCCGCACTGTGCAGCCCTCCCCAGCTCTCCCCCATGCCGCGCCTGGCCTCCCACCGGCCTTTGGGGATGAGGCAGGGTGGTCAGCTGACACACATCAGGGTGGGGCTAACCGGGTCTCCCACACCCTTGCAGAGGGGACCACCTGGCTCCAGAAGTCCCTCCCAGTCCAGCCCTTCTGGGATTATGAACACATGACAGGGTAAGACCCGTATCAGGGAGGCAGCCCCCAGGCCCCACCACCCGGAGTCCTGCTGGGCCCTCCCTCACAGCTCTGCCCATCCCCAGCTCACCCACTGTGGAGCAGAGGTCTGGAGGAGAGGCCTCCCGCCCTGTGGCCCTGGCTCAGGCTAGACCCGTCCCCTCCCAGAGGCCGACGTCGAGCCCACTGCAAAGGCCACACTGATCTCGCTTGGGATGTCGCCTACCTCAAAGTGCGCCCCAGCTGGGCCTCACGACCCCTTTCCTCCTACCCCCGGAGAGCCTCGTCTCACCCCTGCACACGCGTCTCACAGCACCCCTGCAGCCTCCCCAGCCTCGCCTCCAAGAGGGGGTGTGGGGAGATGGGGGTGTGAGTAGGGGAGGAACTCGACCCTCTTGCCCCCAGGACCGCAGAGTGCAGGGAGTAGGAAAGAGTCCGTTTTCCTTGGAAACCACGAGAAGCCACAGGTGAAAACACCTGCCCCTTCCTGGGCCTCTGCCTCCCTGAGAGCCGGGCGTGCAGTGCCGAGGCTCCAGCCCCCTGTGCCTCCACGGCAGCATGACCCCAGCCAGCCCCTCGGAGCCCGCTCCCCTGTCCGCCAGCTGGGGCTGTCATGGTGACGGTTAGGTGAGTCCGTCACGGTGAGGCGTGGCAGCTGCGCACAGCCGGCCGGGCACCCTCACAGGTGTGCTGTCACGTGCTAGCCCAGTCGCTGCAGAGACTGGGCGGCGACGGCCTATTTACTGGGACGTTCAGAGAGGTGAAGTAAACTGCCTGAGGCTACAGCCGGCCAGTGCTTGGCCTCCTGGGACCCTCTCCTGGGGTGCAGTGGGTGCGGGCTCACAGACCACACCTCAGGGGGTGGGGGCCCACATCCGGTCCCCACCTCCCTGCAGGACAGCCCAAGGAGGCGCCCG